TTTCCTCAGAGTTTCCACTTGCGTATGTCCGTCTGCAAAAATCCAAGTTATGGCAGGCAGGCAGGTTTCCCTAATGGAGTCATGGAGCCATGTCTACGCTTTCTCAGGACAAGGTCAACCTTAACACCCCAGGCACAACAGGCAGTGAGGGTTGGGGTTTGTGAGGGACATTAAGATCATAAAAATATTTCAGTGACAAATGATGAAGACAAGGTAAACACAAATGACTTGTGATGCTAAAAAAGGAAATCAAACTAGTTGCAATAAATATTATTATCTCCTGCAAATAATCTAAAAATTACAAATGAAGGCTTTAAATAAATCAATAATTTTTCAGCAGCCTCCCTAACAAAGTATATTTTAACAGCTAATAGGCCAGTAATAAAAATGTGTTCCCCATAATTACATTAATTAAGGAAACAAATAGAAACAAATATAATTAAGGTATTGAGATGATTGCAGATAATCAAGCAGCCAGACATGTGACACAAGGGGAAAATAATAATTTAATATCGAGGAATATTGTTTGACATTTACAAGGTGATGTGATTTGAAAATAAAAGGCCCATCTTTTCATGGACCATAGTGCCATCTAGAGGATGCAGAAAATGGAAGGCGAATCAGCCACAATATGGCCATTATTTGAGGGCATACCTTGTTAGTGTAGTTATTTGCTTTGTGCAAATTGCAAGGCTTGTGTTTGGTTATATGTTAGTTCAGTGAACCCAGGAAAAGATAATTTTTGTGTTAGTCAGGGTGGATTAGATGGATTTAGTGGAGAGGAAACCCTGCAGGCTTAGCAGTTATTTTATGTCTGATCCTTTCACTATTGCAGCATTATGATATGGTGCCACCTACTGTTGGATCACCTCCTCTTTGTGCTGAAGAACACCCATCAGAGCAGCAATTCTATTTATACAATTAAATTAAAGAGATACAAAGGTCAAAAGACTATGCAATGTGATAAGTGTGTGTGTTTATATGTGCTTGTGTGTGTTTCTGTACTCTGTATTTTCACCCTTGCCACCTGATAAGAATAAAAGGGGGAAAGGTTATATTCATGTCATCCCTCACCTCACAGATGATTTGCAGCCACTGGCTCTTCCCTCACAAAGATTTACTGTACATGAAATTTTTGCTGACATGGTACTCTTCGGCCGCTGCGTCTCAGATATATGGCAAACCATAATTTGGAGGTGTAAAATGGGTATAAAACCTGTATTAATTATTTAATCGTGGTTCTAAGTGCTGCCTTTTAGTCCACACCAGGATGTCATCCCCCTCTATTTCAGGGGGTCGTTATATCACTCATTTGTCACCGAAAAAATTACAATCAAGACTGAGATTGTATGAATAGTTGTATGGTAAATCAGAGCAAACCAAGACTTTTTTATGGGTGTCATTAACTGTTACTTTTATTAATTTTTTACCCCATTTCATGTAAATGAACTGCTAATTTCATTTAAATATGAGTTCTATAGCGCTGGACCTAATTGAAGGCCTACTGGCATACGTAGCAGTGATAAATACCCCAAACCACAGTGATAAAACAGAAGCTGATACATCAGAAATAAAAACGTGTTTCACTGGTTTCCAGAAATGCCATATGGAAGGACAAAGCAGCCAGTGCACAGAATAGAAACGTCCGTGGCAGGTAGCAGTGTGTGGGACCTGTGATATATCTTTGTGTCAGGGGGCAGTTAGCTACAAAGACTGAGGGGTGTGATCAACAACCAAACAAACATGTTGTCCTGAGGTTGGGGCGAGGAGGTGTACACAGAGCATCCATCAAACCACATCTGTGAGGGGCTGATACTGTACTGCTTGCTCTCACTACACTCAGCTCAGCTCCTCCTGGCAAATCTCAGATGTAGACTTTCGGTTATGAGATTTTTTATCAGGCCTGTAGCGATGGTGATTTCTGGACATTTGTTTACTGTGGTCTGTTTGGAATATGATGATGAGCTGACATGTAACACAAAATAAGGTACAACTTCCCCTGCTGGTAAGTTACATATAGGTTACATACTTCATTGTAGTGTTTATTGACATTAATGAATACCATGAGCCAAATACACGTGTTAATGATAAGTTATTCTCAATGTTACAAGTGTATGCAGTTTGTTGTTTTTTGTTATGGTTCTTAAACATAAACAGTGGTGGACATATTCAGTAAAGGTGGAATCAGAAAATTAGACACATACACTACGCTCTTCCTAAAGATGGACAGGACTTACAACTCACAGTGGTAGAAGAAGTATTCTGGACCAGTAGCCATATCACAATTTGGAAATACTTAGTGAAAGTCCTTCATTCAAAATGTTATAAATACATCAGCAAAATATACTTAAAGTATCAGAAGTAAAAGTATTCATAATGCAGACAGAATGGCTCCTGCAGTGTGATTTATTACACTATTATTGCGATTTATGACATTATCTGATTATTATTACTGAATGCATTAATGTCTATTCAGCATTTTTATGCTGCATTTTGTCAAGATAGAGTTAATTCTAGGTAGTTTGTTACGTAGCAAGACATTCTATAAGCATATGAAATGCAAAGCATCCTATGGTTTGCATGTAATATATTAATGTATTTATTATTCAGTATACAGCAGCTATACATAGCTTTATAGCTGTTACATAACTATTGTGTAGTAAAATATATTGTTAAAATTAGTGTTTTCAGTCCAGGGGAACAGCAGGAAGTTGTCGAAGGTGCAACATTATGATAATACAGGAGGGAAATATCAGCTACCAAAGCTGCAGTATCATGCCCATTAGAGAAAAGAGTGTTCTTTGCATGACTACACTATGCACTCTAATGCTTGAAAAAAAGCATCAAACTACCATGAAATTTGGACAATACCTCAACCATCTGCTCTACTTCACCCACAGTGGCTTACACAGGCTTTAGAAGTGTAACATTGCTGAACAGGCATCCACTGCAGATATACAGATAATATACAGCCCTTCATTGTCAGCAATGCCATCACTGTCCTCAAAAATGGGATCAGTTTTTTAGAGAGGAAGGTTATTCACACATGGCAGGACATTAGAAAGATCAATTAAATAATACAAAATAGGATATTACTGCTTACAATAATGTCCCCTAACTAAGTCTACTGCGTATGCACTGAAGTATAAATAATGTTACCAATTCCTCACTCTCATTAGAGGTTTAATTAAGGAAGAAACGTCCTGTAAAAAGTGTAAATTGGGTGTCGGGGAAATTTAGGAAATAAGAGGAACAGATCAAATACAGTAACTGCAGTAGAATGAAAGGATCCAAACATAGACTGTCTCTTGAATTTGAACTATGGTCTGATCATAAATACTCATCATTAATAGTGTCAGAAAAAGATTACCCTTTTTATTGGGGCTGTATTTTCTTCACACACTACAATAAAGTTAATGACAGACATTGTCTAAACCATAAAACAGTCATATATTTGGAGATGCTGGTCAGCTTCAACAAGGCTCAGTAGCATCTGGCTCATAGATCATACTTGCCCAATCAAGTATTCTTTGTCAGAGAGATCTAACTTGAACTGAAAACACAGATGTACTGTGTGTCATGTATCCACAATTACAGCTGAATACAATTTGAATATCAGCCTTAAATTATGTCAATATACTGTACAGAATGAACTTGTTAATGAATGTTAACAATGAATGCTATGGTCGTTTTATGCAGTTTTCCTGTCTGAGGTACATTTTATTATGATTTTGAGTCTTCTGTGTCTATCTACCCTCTTATTTCTGTAAGCTGCATTACCTTGAACACTCCCAAATACTAATAATGATTGCTTTATTAAAACCTCCTGTCAGCCGTGTCAGTTACATTGAGTGATTATGTTATGTGGCAAGGAGTTTAATTACAAAAATCACACTGGCATATGTCAAACTCTTGAAGAATTGCATTAAGAAACAGAACCATTATGGCTCAATTTATGCTTGATGTGGTTACTGCAGCACCCATAGTAACATGGTAACACAGTGCATGATGATGGTGTGCAGCTGCTACAGTATACACATTGTGGTCCCTTTGCACTGCAGGTCAGCTGGGTTTGGAAATTAGATTAATTGCAGATTTGTGAGAGAATTTACAACAATAAAATGCAAAAGGACCATGTCTTAAGAGCTTTAGTGTTTACATGTCAATACATACGTGCATATTTCTACAGGCTGGATTATTGAATCACATCACCACAAATTAGGTGTTGCGCAGGAATGCTGGTTGCACTAAACTTTATGGGGACTTTGAGGCCCCACTGTACATACACACAGCAAATGTTTTGCTCTAATGCTCCTAAACAGGTTAACTAAGCCATATAGCAAGATCACTTGTTTTAGTCAGGCTAGCAAGACATGCTGTTTTTTAGTAACACACGACAGCTGTACATGTCCCATACTAACTGATACATCCAAATAAATCTGTTTAAATGCTAAATAAGACCTTACTTTTAGGCTTTAGCCAATTTTTGCTCTCCTGCTATGGCACATTTGATATCCTATACTTTATCAATATTCACGTTTATATTTTTATTTTAGCTTGACAATAAACCTCACAAAGATCATTCAGATTGAATTTTTATTGTATTTATGCACCTTAATTAGAAAACATCCAGTTACAGCTGCTGTTCTTCAATTACAATTACCTAAAATGTATACTAACACAGGAAAAAATCACAGGGCCATGTATTTGAATCCTCACCCAACAGTCTCAACTATTAAACATTGAGCTTCACCAAATTGTAGGTTAGGCTACTTCAGATCTATAGTAGGGCTATTACTACACTATTGGTATGGCTACTGATTGTATTCACGTCTACCCAAACAATTCAGGGAGTTGAATGAGGATTGTTCTACTATGTCGTGTTCCCTCTTTAACCAGTAGATGGCGCAAATTATCTTTATCTTTTTCTTTGCATTAAACCAGACGGCAAAAAAAAAAAAAAAAAAAGGGACACCGTGTACTAAAATAACTTATACTCTCAGAAGACACATAGACATAGACATATAAGTATGTATGATCATTAATAAACGTGTGTTACAATCTAATATATGCTGTCAATGGTTGTAATGGACTGACAACCAGACCATGTCCTCGTCACGTGATCCACTCAGCTCTGCTGCTCCCGCGGACATCTGCAAAATGGAGGTGAGGTGCCCGCAAATGTTGCAATTTAAACACGGCGATTTGTAAACATGCATCAAATGTGCGGTTCCTCTTTAACGCCGGTGTAACAGTGGCGTTGTGTTGTAGCTGTGTGGCTCCTCTGTAGCTTTCACTTGGCTCCTGACTCCGCTGTTCACGGCGTCGTTAGCCAGCGACGCTTCTCTGCTAATGGTGGTCAACATCACCACAAGCTGGATGGTGTTAGCGCCGTAGAGCTCGGCGTTTTTTTGGGTCGACGTTTCATTTGAGTGTTACTGTAACATTGTTTGACTTCATTAACTAACTTCAGTCGTTGTAGCGGATGAGTTAATTGAGGCTTTTGGGAGTAACGCAATGCTCAGCCTGCGGCATTCCTGAAGTGAGCTAACGCTAGCTGTCAAAAGCTAGCAGGCTAACACCGCTTGTTGAATCCTGTATTAAGGAATGTGGGCCTCATTTGAGGTAATAGATATTGTTATATATATATATATATGTGTGTGTGTGTGTGTGTGTGTGTGTGTGTGTGTGTGTGTGTGTGTGTGTATATATATATATGATTGAACGAAGATACTGTTTGTGTGTGCGTTGGGTTTATTTGACACACTTCTTGTACATGATCATGTAGTCTGTTGACACAACAGGGGTAACAAACACTGTCAGTGTGGGGTAGTTGTCACATATTATACTAATGAATACATTCAAATAAATTAGTTTAAATGCATGAACAGTTTTTATTGTCAAAAGTTACATCTTACTTTTTGCTGTACAGTTATAGCATAACACACATGATTTATATCCTATACTTTCTTATTATTTACCTTTTTATGTTTTTTTTTTGTAAAGGCTTATTCAACCATGCTGTAAGTTTCCACAATTAACAGTTCAGTTTAACTTTATCCACGGCTGCGATGGTATTTATTTTGTTCTAATGTCTTTTACAGGACCACGACGCTAAAGAACCAGAGCAGCTCAGAAAGCTGTTTATTGGAGGTCTGAGCTTTGAAACTACGGAGGAGAGTTTACGGGCTCATTTTGAACAATGGGGAACTCTCACGGACTGTGTGGTACGTAGTTTTATTGTAACCTGTGGCAAGATGGCTTCATGTAATAATAATGAACATTAACTTGTAAACACGGGCTAGCAGGCCAGTTGAACCGTTCTCTCTGCCATTGATATCGTTTTGTTGTTTCTAGGTGATGAGGGACCCCAACAGCAAGCGATCAAGGGGGTTCGGATTTGTAACGTACTCCTGTGTAAGCGAAGTCGACGAAGCTATGAAAGCAAGGCCTCATAAAGTAGATGGCCGAGTTGTTGAACCCAAGAGGGCTGTGTCCAGAGAGGTAAACAAATCCCAGACCAGCAGGCGGAGTCTACAGCGGTGTTATTGTTTGGTCTGTGCTTATTGAGATACACTATGTTTCAGGACTCCAATAAACCTGGTGCCCATCTGACAGTGAAGAAGATCTTTGTTGGCGGTATCAAGGAGGACACTGAGGAGTACCATATCCGCGAGTATTTTGAGAAGTATGGAAAAATTGAATGCATCGACATCATGGAGGAACGCTCCACTGGGAAAAAGAGAGGATTCTGCTTTGTGTCCTTTGATGACCATGACACTGTTGACAAAATTGTTGGTATGTGGTCGTTTAAGACGTGAGAGTTAACCAGGCTGTTAGTAAACATCAGGCGGTGGTATGAAAGTGTGGTGTTCTTGTTTTACTTACAGCCCAGAAATTCCACACAATCAACTTCCACAATTGTGAGGTCAGGAAAGCGCTGTCAAAACAGGAAATGAGTGCTATGTCCACCAACAGGGGTAAGCTGGAGAATAAAGTTATTATTAACTCAGTGACCAATATTGTTTATACGTAGGTGACAGATCACTGACATTACAAACATCTCTAAAATCACACTTTTTCTTTCACATCAGGCAGGAGTGGAGGATCGGGAAATTTCATGGGGAGAGGTGGTAATTATGGAGGTGGTGGCAACTTTGGCCGAGGTGAGTAGTATTTGCATACCAGTTGAAACTTTCTCTGGCGTTAACCACTCTAATGCAAGTGCATTTGATAGTGATGTTTACTGGTCTCCTTTCTTTCCAAGGTTTATTTATTAAATGTCAGGTGTGGAACAGTATACAATACACACCTGGCATAGGTTACATATATCCTGTTAACTTAATCCGAAGGCATCCATTTGTGTGATATTTACATGTCATAAGAAGTTTCCGGATCAAAGTTTTGCATCACAACTAAATGGAGCATGGCCAAGAGCATTTGGTAAAACCGGCTACTCAGCTTTGTGTCTGCTCTGTTGCCTCCAACTCTCTGTGAGCACTTACTCTGTGTTTGAGCTCTTCTAAACTTACTATTCAGGCAATCTGTTGTCAGATAATGGGAGTGTAAAACTGTATTGATTAAGGTTCATCTTGTTAGTTGATAACGAAGCCTAGCAGCGGTAACTCCTGGGTTTATATTTTTATTTTCATGTTTTTCTCAGACAAGAGACAAATTAATGTCTCTGTGATAAGGTGGGGTGATAAGAAAGTCAGAGATGATGCAATGCAGAATTATGTTGTCATGTGGGGAGACGTTAATAGTCGCATGTCAGCATCCTCAAGGTTCTCTGTCGTCCCATCGAACCTTCTGGGCAAGACTGTAATTTTTCAAATTCATCGTCTTTGCAGTGCATTTTGAAAGTGCTGCCATAGTTTGGACAGCAGGCCAGAGCAGAGAGAGAGTGGCATTAGTGTGGACATGGTCTCCTCTGTGATAAAGCTACAGGAATAAATAAATTGTTCACAGTTTTAATGTATAATGTATTTTACCCTTGTTTTACAGGTGGCTATGGTGGAGGACGAGGTGGTTATGGTGATGATTTTGATAATGGTGAGTTGTTGTAAAATGGAATTAAAAGTGTGAAATGTAAACCTTAACTATTTTAAGTCATATGGATTACTACTATGTAGTGTACTCCTATGACACAATAATTGTGTTGTGTCTTTAGTCACTTTACCAACAGGGTTATGTTAATAATAAGGTTATGTTGCAATTTTGTTTTTCTCTATTATAGGTCCAGGAGGAAATTATGGTGGAGGACCGGGTTATGGAGGAGGCCGGGGGGGCTATGGAGGTGGGGGTCCGGGATATGGTAACCAGGGTGGTGGATTTGGGGGCAGCTGTGACGGAGGTTACGGAGGTAATGACGGAGGTAAGGTTATTGACTCCAGAAGTTTGACTGTTAAATTAAATCGCTAGATGTAATCCATAGAAAAGTTGCAGTACTAGACAGCTAAAATCTAGATTTAGCTTAAAATTGACACTTACTTCTTCAGGATATGGAGGGGGTGGAAATTACAACGACTTTGGAAATTATGGTGGACAGCAGTCCAACTACGGGCCCATGAAGGGAAACAACTTTGGTGGCAGAAACTCGGGTGGACCGTACGGCGGTGAGTTTTCCCCTCCACTCCATATTCAGTGACATACAATCATAATTTCTCCTGAAGAGTATTTAATATATTTTGCGGTGGCCAATCCCTAACTGCAGGTGGCTATGGCTCTGGCGGCGGCGGAGGAGGCTATGGCTCACGGCGATATTAATTATTTCATGTTTTGGTAAGTTGCATTCAGTTTCGCACCACCCTCGTAGCACAGTACAGAGTGAGCCCATGAAAGTGCAGAATAACTATTTGTTCTATCCTGTATCCATTCAACAGGCTTCAGTTCTTAGCAGGAGAGGCGAGGAGGTGAGCAAAGGAATTGTCAGGAAAGCTGCAGGTTACTTTGAGGCAGTCATCTGAAAGCATTAGAGGAACACACAAGTCAGACAGTACTGCAGCTAAATCGGAGAAGTTTATGGAAGAAGGACTGTATACACAAGACATGAGTGCAGACGATACCCTTCCCTAATTGTGATAGATGTTTCCCTACTCAGCAATTTTTCCTTTTGTGCGTCTGAAGTGTGTGTATTGTGCCTATGGTATCAGGGGTAAAGAGTAAATTGTTCTTTTTTATCTGAAGTGAGTTATAATATCTTTATTTTCCTTTTTTTATATGGGTTAGTTTTCTGCTGGCCAATTAATCTTTTGTCTTTTAACTTGGTTTTTGTCAAATAGCATAGTTATATCAGGCCCACAGCTGAGCTAGAATCACTCAATTTTTTCTTTCTGAAGTTATTATGAAGTGTCAAGTGTAATTTTATTTTGTATGTGAAGCACAGTATGTAAATCCTTCGTAGTACCAGTGTCAACAAATATAAGCAGTCTGGATTAGAATTAAGGGAATCCCTCACTCTTCTTGTTCCCAGAAAACCGGATTCTAGATTGTTGGAATATTTTGATTAGTAGAAAAAGACCGAATAAAATTGTGTAGTAAAGTAACATGAAGTTCAGTGCGTCATTGGTTCAGAAAAAGATTGAATGAGTTATTGATTTATCTGTTGCCTGCTTATTGTGACTGTGAAGTTTAGCAAATCAGCCTGTCCAGAACTTTTTCCTCCTTTTTTGTGAGTATTATTTAAGATATCTGGGGGTGAAAATAGTGTATATATACTGTATTTACTTGTACCAGAGTCGATGACAAGGGAGTTTTGGGTAGTCCTAGGGCAAGGGCCCATACACCACCTATGCCAGTGTTGAGTGTGTAGGATTATAACAGCCACAAGCACCTGCAGTTGGGCCCTCAGCATCGCTAGTGTGGAAGATTGCAGATGACTGTCAGACAGGACGTCTTCAGCCCCAGCACAGTGGACCAGTCAGCATTTTGAGAGAGAAGGGAGAAGGCAGCATCGAGCACAACGCCCATGGAGGAAGCTTGCAGTGTCGTTCCTGGTAGTGAGCATCTATCTCTCTTTCAAGGCTAGCTAAACCCTCCAGCAGCTGGTGCTAGCGAAGAAAGACTAGTTCCTGGACACATTGGAGATCCCGTTGAGTCAGAGATACTGCAGTTTTACCCACAAATTCTAGATTTCAGACATTTAACAAGAAAAGGGAGTGAGTATTTCACAAAATCTGACTTAAGAAGATGGAGCAGGTAAGAGTAACCACTTTGCTTGATTTGCAGATGTGGAAAGAGGCATTCTCTTCTTGCTGAAAATCTGTAAAGACCTGATAACATGGAAGGTTCTGGATGGGTAAGACTTTTTCAAAATATTATCAAAGGCTGCTCATATTGTAATCTAACTGCACATGGTGATTATACAAGGTGCAAGGGTTCTCTTAAGGTAAACCGAGGAGACATTCAGTATTGCTCCACCAGAATCAGCCTGTGACCTTCACCACACTGCTCGAACTGCAAAATACGTTGTTTACATCTATTACCTTTTACTATCAGTCAGATGGAGTCTGATAAAGTTCATAGTGATGAAAATGGGGGCAGCAACTCACCACACTCTTCCTAAGAAAAAACAGTATTTACATGTATCTATTACAATTCATTACACCAGTTCTGTCATAAATTCTACCTTTTTATGAAGTTTATAATCTTCAGTTTCTGTTGACATTGTCAGAAATGGGTAAATTCAATTATACGTTTATTACTGAGTGCATAGTTAAAGATGGTGGTGTACTGGATCATAGTATACTATATAGGTGTTTTTGTGTCCTCCCTATTTGTAAGTGGGCAAAATATTAGAAGCACCTCTGAATATAAAGCAGCCCACCACCTCTAACTGTGACCTCAGTGCTGAAATATATAATTAACTTCTCTATGACTGTCATAAAACTTAATATTATACATCATAAAAGTAGAACAGTTGTATTAGATTGTGCTGGTGTGTATATACTAATCTATATACCAAGCTATCACTTACATCATGCAGGGTTTAAGTATATAGAAATGCATGGAAATCAGAGGATCCTTGCCCTCACCAGTCTAAATAAACAGAACAGTGTAAACATAATAGAAAAGGACTGCTAACTCTCAAGGAACTTGATTGCCAAAGGAGGTCATGGTAGTAGAAATAGAAATAGTAATAGTGAAATAGTATTTAATTTATTTAAAGGGATAGAAATCAGCACTTTGTTGAGCCAGTTTTGAAGCAAGGAGGTAAATACAAAAAAAAAATGTATTTGACAGGCAGTCACATGAAATGGGCGAAATGTGTCAACAGAAAGGAACTGTGGTCACAAGTTGAAACTAACACACAGCGGTAAAACAAACTATACAGAGTATAGTCTCAAATTCTAGTAATTGGCATACTTTACAGGAAGTGTAAACGGTTCATATTTACTTCAAAGGCCAAAAGCTTTTCATAAAGTGTTTTTTTTTGTTTACCTCGTGAGTTAAAAATAAGTTAAGATGTCTGGTGGGAATTTTGTAAGGTTTCCCAGAAAACGGGAACTACAGAGATTCAGCTTCTGCACTTAAAGCTTGTAATTACTGCACTTGATGATGCTGCAGTTAAATCACTTACTATATATATAACATGGGGAGTTTAAACATCTGCTTTCATTTACTGATATTAATTTTGAAAAATTACATTTTGGATAATTTAATTTCTTAAGCTTTATACATATCAAATATTTTTTAAATGTATTGATGTGGGAATGTCAAACATGTCAGACTATGAATATGACCCACATGATTACCTACAACACATTTAGGTTTTATGCATTTTAACTGTTTGAAAGAATTACACATGCATTTTTAGGATTCCATGCGGGTCAGGTCTGCCCGCTAATATGTCTCTCAGTTGAAGGATAGTGTTTCTACAGAGGAATGCAGAATGACCAACTCCATGACACAGAATAAAGCTGTGCTTGGCAAAAGCACGCCGTTGTCAATGAACTGTGTTGGCTTAAACAGTAAGATTTTTAGATGTAAAAGTGTGACTTGTGCTCTTAAATAAAAATGTTTTCCATGACTTGAGTGCTTTATTTCAGAAAAGAGCATAAAAGCAATATGTCAAGCCACAAATGTTTGTCTTTATTGTACAATGCAACTTTTCTCAATGTCTTGATTCACAGACGTCCTTGAGTGTGTTACCCTGCTCACCAGTTTAGTTTGCCACACACCCTCGGAAGTTTGCCATGAGAGCAGAAAATGGGCTTGGTGATCAAAGGTAGTGTTTGTGTGTGAAAGTGCATGTGGCGCACATAACTGATTGCGTAGGGCTTTACCTTTGAATATGCTCGCCCAGTGGACCATTGTGAAGTTGTCATGCATGATTTACACTGAGCATACACTACTGTAGCTAGTACTATTGTACTCTTTGTTGTGTAACGTAATGAATGCAGTGGGTGTGATTTCTTTTCGACATGAGTTTCACAGCTTTAAAAGATTTAGGTTACCGTACAAACAAGTTTGGTGTAAAATGAAAAAAAGGCAAGCAGATTGGAAAAGGGGTTTAAGCTAATAACTCTTTTGTTTCAGTACAATATTACTCGGTTTTTTGCTGCTTTGTAAGCCCTTTGGTTGAGCCTTCCAAGTCAAGAACTGACTTGAACATGTGGTAAGTTATGTAATCATTCCTTAGACTATATATCCATCTGGCATCAATCTGTTGCAGGCTGTGGTCATAGAACACCACACAATGTTCTGTTTTCAGAAAATAGGAGACGTATAGCTATATGAATAGTTTATTGAAAAGCACAGAAGATTTTATAAAAGAACCTGGGCAGCAAATCATAAAGGGACAGTTATAAAATATGAGTAACAATGATTGAAACAACCATTAGCATACAGAAATATATTTACAATATATATATATACATACAGTAACGTTTTTATCAATCTCAAAAGCAAGTAATGTTTATATTTACAATGTTGGTTAAAGAATCTGTGAAGGGTATCAGAGTACAAAAGAAGTAAAATATCAAAAATATTACAACATTCAAGAGAAGTGAGCATAAACTATACAATAGTTCTGCTGAGCTACTAATGCTTTAAAGCTGAGCGACTACAAAGTTATTGCATAGTATTACTATGATAATGCAGTACCGTATTACACAGGAGACTAGTGGTTGTCTTCGCTCTTGATGAAAGTCTTTTTAACGCGAGGGACGAGGAAGATGCTGCCGTTAGTTGACTGCTGGAGGGAGTAATCAGATGGGGAGTAGGAATTCCCCTTCTCATCTCTCAACATGCTGAAGACCTCCAGGTACAAGCTGTTGAGTTGCTGCTTCATTTCTTTCAGGTTTGCTGTGTTCTGGCTCTTTTCACTCAGCAGACGCTCCTTCTCCTCCTTCAGTGAGTCCAGCTCGCCCTCCAGACCCATTATGTTCTCCATCTTGCGTTTGCGGCAGTTCTGGGCAGCTACCTTGTTCTTGCCGCGGCGGCGTATGTCTCGGACCAGGGCCAGCTGGGCCTCATTCAGTTGGTGCTTTGACATCAGCTCGTTGAAGTCGTCAACAGGCAGATTGGTAATCATGGCTACAGTGAAAGGGATTTTGAGGGCCTTAGCCCTCTGCTCGTCTCTGGAGAGACGCACGTCAGAGCGTTTCTTCTGCTTGTCTTTGGTGAAGGGGGCATTGTTGTGGCCACTCTCCTCTGCTGGATCCGTCTTATGTTGTTTGGGTTTCTTTTCCTGCTGCTCTTGTAGCTGGCCTGTAAGCGAAGTTAAAGAAAGTGCTCCCTGAAAATCATCAGGTTGGAAATTTATTGAGAACATCTCCGAGTAGTCAGATTCTGCACTTCCAGGGTTGTGGTCCATCTCCTCCATATCTGAATCGCTGTAAAGAAAGGACCCATCTCCATATACGGACTTCCCAGGTGAACTAGCATTCGGACTTGTGTTTGAAGAGATTCCTGAATCTGAGTCTGGTAATTCTGCAGTCAGACTTTGTTTGCCTCGGTCAAACGCATCTCCAGGTGAGAGGCTGTACGGGTCCACTGGTGTGAGGGGAGGCTTAGTTGGAATATCCGACATGCTGTCATTTTCATGTCCTTCAAGGCCTTGTTGACCACCACTCTCTTCCAGAATGGCATTGGGGTAAAATATGTCACAGAAACTTTCTGCAGTGAAGTCAGTATTTAACTGTGGAGCTTTCGCCTTCATCTGGCTAAGATTGTCTGGTGGGGCCATGCTGGGAACAGAGCCATCAAATGTATTCATAAACTCTGCAGGACAAACATTTACATTGTTTGTTTCCCCTTCTGTGAGATTGGTCATGGGGTAAAAGCTGTAGTTTGGATTCTGCACTTCTGGGCTGTTTGGAAGAGGATATGTTGTGGACTGTGTGTCCTCCATTTGCATGCTCAGGCATTGCTAGAAGAAAAAGACAAAGAAACATTAAAATATATACAACCAACACATAACAGGATCCTAACTCTGCTCTGTCTTATCTGACATGCAAGGGGTTTTACAAGTTTAAAGGTGAGCAAGAAAATTACAACTTTTATTGTATGTGTTGTTGTGGAAGCATGCACAGTATGTCCTCAACCTACATTATCCTTCAAAACATGATCTGCAGCACATTGTGATGAAGTTTTCCAATAATCTCTTTAACGTGGAATCCACTTGGCACACTTTCAAAGTGACATTATCCTCCTACAAAACCTAAACATTAAAATCTGGGATAAGTATGGCAAAATGAGTTTGCAGCAATCTATTTCAAACACAAGAAGATGCATGACTAATCTGTTGAATTCCCTCCGTTGGGGCATTTGCCCATGCAGTTAGTCCAACTGACTGACTGGTATTTCAATGCTGGTAGAGGTTGGTGTAACACAAGGTAGCCTTCTGTAATTTCCTAACTAGATATCCAGTTGGTAAAATACCTCAGAAATCCCCAATACCAGTCTCCCAGCTTGCTCTTGCCAAGAACTTTGCCGATAACGTTATCTTCACAAAGCAGAGCTGAAACAAAATTACTTAGTCTTATCAGCGGCTTGCCAGAGCAACTAATGCACTGCTGCTCAATGGTAAGCTGTATGGTAAGCATTGTAGTCCAGTCCACTCTAGTAAGAGGTCAAGTTAACAAATGGCACATCGCTCCACCCATCTGCTAATGCAAATATGAGCTGCCTTAAAACAAAAATGATAAGGCAGCAACTGAAAAACTACTGCGCACACATGTTCATGTTGCTGCCATTAAATGGAGTTTTTAAGACCAAGCCCTCTCCAAACAAGATGTCTTCTTGTCCTGCAAACTGCATAACATCTTGAACACCCACCTCCCTAATTCCCTACAAAGCCTCAACAATGAAACCTAATCACAGTGGAATGAGCTGGGTGCACCTGTCTCACACATATGAGACCCCATTCTCATACAGCAAACAAAAAAGTATTTGTCCTCTACTGCCGGGCTCCTGCCGTTGATGCATTCTTTGGGTGTTTGTTCCAACAAATACCAATGCAAACCACCGTGCCATTGAGGCGGTAGAATCCATGTATTATACCTGCAGCTCAGGGAGGGACAAAAGCTCCATCCAGGCCTGCTCCAAATCTGGGGACATCCTCTGTGGTGGTGGTGGTGTCGGCAGTGGACCTGGGGAGAGGGTGGCCGGCGGCAGAGCTGGTTGCTCCGGTGACATCATGGGTGGTGATACAGTGGTTGTGTCCAGGCAAACGGAGGTGTCCTGTCAGACAAACACAAGAATATGACACGTTAGAGGCTACAGGTTATGATGCTGCAGGTTATGATGCCACATGTGTGGTAAGAATGTAATGTTCTTACCTCAGTTTCCTCTACAGGAAATGTCTCTGCCAGTAGCTGCAAACATTCATCAAATGACATGGCATCCCCATTCTCCTCTGTGAAGCTGACATTCTGTAAGAAAGGTTAAAATACATACTTTTAAATATACCACCTAGCTTCCTTTGTGGCACACTATCTTTTAAAAACAGCACACGTTTTTATATTAATAGAGCATAGGTCTCTGCAGAGAGGTTTCTAGAACAGAGTACACCAATGCAAAGCTGCAGACCCACCTGTGTTTTTGTAATTACACAGAATGAGGTGGTTACCTAGCTACGACATAGCCACAGCCTATCAAATGAGGTGGGAGTGGTCCACCTCTGACATGAGTGATGACAGCCATGTCCATGTACCTGTGTAACCTCAAGAGGTGTGACAGCCGACTGCAGTGGGGCACTGGGCAACGGGCGGGGTATGTACTCTCCCGTTTCCTCATCGAGCTGTAGCTGCGCCAGCAGGGCCTTCTCCTGCTCCCGGAGCAGATGCAGCCTCTTCTCTTCTTCCAGCTCCAGCTGCCTCTGCAGCTCATGTTCTTTCTGACGGTGGTTGTAGTCAAACACCTCGCGCCTCGCACCGAGATCAATATCCTGCTTCCACAGTATGTCAATCAGGTTCATGTCCTGGAAAAGAAAATGGCATGTCAGTTTAGAGGGTTGCGAGCTGTAGCCATGCTGCCCTGCAGTGAGAATGTGAGCAGCATCGGAGCAAGGAAGAGCGTCCCTGCTGTGAAGCGTGGCTGCTGCACCCGCCACACCCTGTCCCTCAGTATCTGCTCACTGACAAAAGCACTGGCACTAATGTCAAGGGGGAGAAGCCACATGAATAATACATGCACTTCTCTCTTTCCCCTGACGCTACCACACACCAGCAGAAGACATGTATCCTCACCTGATACATAGGATCATTACCCATCCAATTACATTGGAGGTGTGAATTCATTTGTCACATTCAAACCCAACAAATAGGAAGTCATGTCATGTTACAGTTTAGGTCTCTAAATGAAGTGAGGTGAAATCCCAAACACCCGTATCATATTTTACAGCATTTATAAAATCAGGAAGATAAAAGTATGTTGAGGTACCACGGTGCTTAGACAAGTTATTCTTTCTTTATTAAACTTCATAACAGTAATGTTCCAAAAAGGGTGGTAATATAACCAAATAACATTAGGAATATAAGGCTGTAGATTTGTTGCTGGGTGGAATTACACATTTTGTTTCCTTGC